TTGTGTCTGTGTTTGTGTGTGTGTTTGTTTTTTGCTACTCTTAATGATAAGTCACTCGCAAATTCTTTCTACCCACAGTGGTACCAACTGTAGATCACCTAATGAATGACATTCCAACCCATTGTTATTACAGTAATCCTAACTACAGCCCATGGCTTGTCAGGTTGGCTTGCTATCCTCAAACAAGTCTTCCTGCAGGAATCGAGGTCCACACAATACAACCTATAATGTATAACAACCCAAGATGGATTAACATGTTGTGCAAACCCAATGTAGTGATCCCATTTTACTAGCTCATAAAAGTGAACAAGTTTTAAATACACTTGAAAAAAATATGTCCCTTTGATATTTATCTAGTGTAGAATTTTGTTGTGCCATGAGTGAGAATGAAAGATTGCAGAGTGGGGGAAGAGTTTGGATGAAGACATTGCTGTGTGGTGAGATTTGACATTAAAGTGAGACTATCAAAAAGAATAACCAAAAACGATGATCAGTTTGTTTATTTGTGTATTCATTTATTACCTTTCTATACTTCCTCAAGCTGAAGCTCTCTGGGCAGTTTGCACAGTCCATAAAAAGAGATGATAAAAGTACAATAAAAATATCATAAAATCAAGAAAAAAAGTTTTAAACAAGTAAAAACAAATAATAAAAACAGACAATGACAAGGAGAGAAAGAGGATCTGCCAAACACTTGAACCCCCCAAGCTTCTGGATGTTATTCTAGAGACAGAGGGCCACTGCTGAGAAAGCCCTCCCCCTTGTCGCCACCCTTCACACCTTCCTCAGAGTTGGCATTCAGAGGAGGGCCCCAGAGGTTGCACGTAGTGTCTTGGTAGATCACAGATGGGAGACATGTTCTGATCCTAAGCTATGTAAAGTTTTACAGGTTAAAACCAGCACCTTGAATTGAGACCAGAAGCAGACAGGCAGCCAATGCAAGCAGGCCAGAACCAGTCTTACAGGATCAGACCTGCAGCTGCAGCTTCTGAGCCATCTTCAAGGGCAGCCCAACATAGAGTGCATTCCAGTTTAGAGATTACCAGAGCATGGAGTACTGAAACCAGGCGATCCCTGTCCAGATAGGGGCATAGTTGGGGCACCAGCCAAAGCTGGTAGAACCAATGCCACCTAAGCCTCAAGTGACAAAGATGGGTAAAAGAACACCTCCAAGCATCATACCTGCTCCTTCGGGTCTCACTCCCCCATCTAGAACAGATGAGCACCCACCATCCAGTCAAAGGAACAGCATCTCAGTCTTGTCTGAACTGGGTTGCAGTTTCTTGGCCCTCATCCAGTCCACTGTTGTAGTCAGGCAATGGTTTAGCACATCCACAGTTGTTATTGTTGTTACTTTTGCATTGTGTTTGTGCAGTGTGTCAAACAATGTTCTACAATATTATTCAGGCCTGCTTAACTACTGTTTGGACACTCTCGATGATCACAACAAACTGCTAGAGTTCTTTTTAGTAATCCATATACTCCAAATACACTGATTTCCCTATGTTTTCCATGTGTAGAAACCACAAATGCTTAGGTGGAAAACCACTTGTAAATACATGTTACACATTCAAAGGTTATGTAAAAATGGATATTGTCTCAGTTTTCCGTGCTGCTTGGGATTAATGGCCCTAGATCTGCTTTAAACCTACCTAGAGGGAGGCAAAACTGCTGGCCAAGCACCCATCCACAGTTCTCCCAAGTATTTTGAGTAGGTTTGATTTGTTTTTCTGGAGCATGGACTAGGTTCACTTGGGTAACAAACTAAACCACAGCTTATTGCACACTTCCCCAACATGGTGCTGTCCAAATGTGGTGGACTACAACTCCCACTGTCCTGAATGATTGAATGCCAGCTGGCATTCAATGGGTGTTGTGCTCCAATACATCTGGAGGACACTTTGTTTGGGAAAGCTGGTTTAACTTCCTTTCTCTTTCCTCTCTAGCATAGTCATGAGGAATTTGAGGACTTCAGCTTCCTATTTCATTTAACCTCAGTTCAACAAGCCAGCTTCATAAGCTGTGGTTTGAAGTTGGTTTATTTAAAAAGAAACAAAGTTAACATTAAGCACAGCTTGTTGTGTTAATAAAAACCTGAAGTGAAAATTTCTAAATTCCTCATAGTTGCACCATGGGAGAGGAAGGGGAACGTGTAAGTCCAAGGTTCAGTGCTGCTTGTTCTTACCATGCTAACTGTTTCCTGTAGTACAAGAAAGGAAGGGGGATTATTAGTGCTTTTGCTTCATCATTTTCTATGGTTAACAATGTTGAATTTTACTGCGTACTGTTAATAAGATTATAGTGTGATGTTTTGATGATTTAATTCTAAATTGTCTTGAATTCTTAGTGGGAAAACAATTTAAAAATACATTAAATAAGTAAATACCAGTAAAGTCATTTGATCATTAGGTGAATTATTTCCACAGTTGCTAAGGTGAGCAGAAACAGTTAGGGAGGAAGCAAACTACTTGCTTGGTCCTCTTAAGAAAAAGCCAGCTGAAGAGTTTATTCGCCTCAAGTGTCAATTGTTCCATGTTTCTTAATGCATCTTCATTTCTCATCTTAAAGTGAAGTTTCCATAGAAAGGATTTGTGATAGTTGGGTTGGATGACCATGAGTAGTGACCTCCTCCCCACAAAACGTATGTCAAACTCTAGTAAAATGCAAGCTCTGGATGATAAAAATGTTATAAAACAACCTTAGTTTTTCTAAATGAAAATAGAAACAATTGTTCTAGAAGGAGTGCGTGATCCACTCATCTTCTGTAAAGAACTCTCCATGCAGTAATTCCCATCTTTGTTAAGAACGTGTGTCTGCTGAAAAGAAGAGTCATTTAAGTTGTTCATTCCTTGGGGACATAACCATTTGCTTTAGTTTAAGTTGCTAAAAAGTTCCATGGTGTGGCATAAACTCTTCAGAACTGGGCTAGGTACCAAGGTGTCCCCTGGACATCTTTCCTGACACACTCCAAAGTGCCTTATTCCAACCCAAGTTCTTTTTAAATTAACTATTTCTTTACTGATGGCTGGGAACATTTCAGACCAAGATGAGCCCAACTGAAACCATCCTCATTTGCCATGAATGCATCTGTGTACAGGTATGGCTCAAAGATAATCTTAGGAAATTAGGACAGTGGCAATCATTTTGTGATGTTGTCATGTTCTCAGATTGTGAGATGGCCCTAAAGGGTTGCCTACCCTTGCATATAGTACTTGGAATAATACTGTAATTCTAGCAGTAGAACACGCTCCATCTTAAGATTAGATAAACTGAAGGCTTAGGAGTTGGGGAGTAAATGACAAGAGGGGGAGTTTCATATGTTATAGTTTGTAGCATATCAGTTATGGGGATTAAAGCAAGAGGGAAGAAACAGCAGTAGAAGACTGTTGTCTTCATAACCTGTTTGTGGGCTTTTGAGAAGCATCAGGTTGGTTACTGTGGGAAGCAGGACTGGATGAACTTTTGGTCTGACCCAGCAAGGCTCTTCTGTTGTAGAGTCTTGGCCCCAAGAAAGCCCAAGATCTTGCTCTAACATGAAGGTCTTAAAAATGGACAGCTTAACAATCCATTCCAGATTGGCTATATTTCTGTGGAGCAGAAGGTTCATGCCAGATTCCTCTCCTAATAACCCAAAAATACTTCACTGCTTAAAGAGAAATAGCTAGAACTGCTGTTGGCATAACATGAGGTTGACATTAATATTTATAATTGATAAAACATGACATTATCTCAGATTAGCTTTGTTTTAGATGAGGTAGTAGAGTCTCTTTTCAGACCTCAGGTTTTACTTCCTCCAACTCAAGCCATTCTCTGAACTTTAGTGTAAAAGAATGTGTCTCCAACGTGGGAGGAAAGAGAAATTAAACAGTAACTGAATGGTTGTTAGTACCAGCCTTTAATGTATTAAGAAACTGATATCTACTATTCACCCACCTCCTTTCTGCTCCCACGCTACTTGTGGCTTTGCTTTTTCCCACTCTTCTTTCTTTCTGCATCACCAACTGTGCACATTAATGCATGTATAAACAGTATTTAACATGTTTACAGACAGATGTACATGTCAGCAATTTGCTTTTGAAGCTTAGCTCAGAATACCAAGTTAAAACCACTCCTGAGGCTAGAGGGAGTGGGTGGGTGAGTTCCATTTTAGATTCTGTATTTGCTCATTATTTGACCATCTGAATTCCACCAAAGGAAATGCCAAAAGTCGGTTTTGTTTTCATGGTTTTATTCCACCACTTCCCTTCCAAGGTAAGACCACAGAGAGTTCCCAAGTATATCCTAGCCCATGATATTCTGACCCTGTAAGGTAGAAGCTGGCTCTCTAGTGAGTTCTTGTCCTGCAGAATCAGGAAGACCACACATTCAAATAAACGTAAGATCTTCCGGTTCATATGACCTGAAGGCTACTACACATTTTACTTGCGTAGAATCCCAAAAGACAACTGAGGAAACAGGCCCAAATGTTATCTTGCGAAAAATTTTCAGAACAGATGACTGCTGTGATAAGCCAGCATTGTGCAGCATTAACTTCTTAATTTGGCGTAAAAGCTTGAGTGAGTCTTCAGGTTGCAGCTTTTTAATGCAAAATGAAGTTCCAGTGTTTTTGGTGTATCTTTTTCTTCTTCTTTTTCAGTAAATATGCTGCTGGGTCAATAAAAGTATTTTTGTTCCATGTGGGGGTTGGGGGGCTCAAAAAGAACTGGCAATAGATTTGCTAATAGAAAGAAATTAATATATGGAACATGTTAACAGAAATGCAAAATGCAACATATATTTCATCTTAATTTATTGTAGTTAAGCAATAGATGGCTTCACAATTATAAGATATAAAGATTTTTTTTTCTAATGTAGCCTTGCTATATGACCCATGAAACATTATCTTTAACCACTCATAATTGTCCCTTTTGGAGTTAGCCTCAAAACCCAAGTGGACTTAAAAGTAACTACTGTCTAGTTTAACATCCAGCACTCATATTCTTCCCGTGTCTGAATTTCAGGAGAGAAATTTGGATTGGTTCCCTCGGATGCGTGCTATGTCTCTCGTGAGTAGTGACTCTGAAGGAGAACAGAATGAACTTAGAAACTTACAAGAGAAACTTGAATCTACCATGAAGCTGGTCTCCAATCTTTCTAGTCAGCTGTCTGAGCTGAAAGATCAGGTAAGGAATACTGAGAAGCTGTCCATTACAGATAAGTGGACTTACCTGTGCATAAACATGGATGAATGAGAACCTAGGGGATGGCGAATTGATAACGTGTGTGTGATGTATCTGGTCTACAGAGGCTTTGCTACAGTGGTGGTCTACTGATGGGCTGGAATTCTAACATGCCATATCGTAATAGAGACCATCATGGTGGAGGATCCCCCCGCTAAAACATAGAGCCCCCCCCCGCCTCACTCAGTCCCCCACTCTCTCTCTCTCTCTCTCTCTCTCTCTCCCTCCTGATAGTTGCATGGGACCATTCCAAGTCCCTCTGCCCAGCACGCTCCCCTCTTGATCGACAGCTCCAGAAGAGCCCATCTCACTTGCCTCAGGAAAGGCATCAGTGCAAAACACCCCCCATTTTTGCCAGTTCCTCTGTGTTTGGTTACTCAACCAGAGCAAATGAAATGTGGCCCTTTGTTGCTCAGTGGAGTGCTGGTAAAGACACCCCCAGCCAATTACGTTAGCTGCTAACTTTTACTGAGCCCATGACCCTGCAGGGCATGGGAGGACACAGTAGGGAACAGAGCAGCAGACCAAAGAGCGACCATTTCCTCTCAAGCCTGCTCAGTGCGGGCACAGGGAGCACCTGGTGGGAGTGTTCGCCTTACCTTTTCCACCTTGTCCTTTGTGAGCTGCCAGTGCCTGGAGAGCTATGGGGAATGCAAAGCACATTTTGAGGGGTTAAGTGCTGCCTGGCAGTGCATGTGAGGGGCAAGAAATCCGGTGGTGCCAGTGGAGAAGCCATCTCCTCTAGCACAGCTTCAGTCTCTGGACAGCCTGCTCATCCCCACCTGAGTGAGCTCTGCTGTTGCCACCAGGGACCTCATCCTCATCCCCCTCCCACCAGGCCTTGGGGTCAAACATCAGCTTTCCTTAATTATGTAACACACAGCTGAATCCAGTCTTCCTTTCTTACAAGGAAATGCATGAAACCCCAATCAATTTGGGACCAGTGTGCATACCTGTTTGTTTCCCAGCATTCCCATGTCTCCCACCATGTGGGGGTTGAAAAGTGTGGCACCTCTGGAGACTTCTTTTATTCTTTAACTTAGATATGATGTGTTTGTGGGGGGGGGGGGCATGCTGGTCCCCAATCAAGCTGGAAGAAAACAAGGAAGAAAAACAAGTGAGGGGTCCACTATGCATTATGTAAGTAAAGTAATGTGTCATTGCGCCATCCGTTCTCTCCAGTGGCAGGTTTTAGTCTCTTAATCCACAGAGGGACTCATGCCTCATCTTGTGTGTGCAGAACCTGTCTACTGATTTCTAGGCTGTGTGGCTGGAACAGGAGGTTATTCCTTGCTCGTCGTTGTGCAAGGAGTGCAGCTAGGCAAGGTGCCATGCAAGCATCACTGCCTGGCACTGATTTTTTTGTGTTCCTTTTCTTTATTTAGGGTTAGTGTTAAGGTTCCCCCTCGGGCCAGTTCAAAAGTCATACCTTGCGTTCTGTGGTATAGCAGTTAAGAGTGTTGGAGCTGGACTCAGGTGATCTCAGTTCTAGTCCCCACTCAACCATGCAGGCTACTTTGGGCTACTCACTGCCTCTCTGCCTAAACTACCTCCCAGGGTTGTTGTTGTTGTGAGGATAAAATGGGAGAGGAGGAGAACTTGTTCAGCCTTGAGTTTCTTGCCAGAGAATGAAAGATGGGATGTAGATGCCGTGTGGTAGTAGGGGTGATAACAGCAATAGTGGAACAGCAACGAGCACCCTTTGTACTTGCTTACAAGAGACAGGAGTGGCAGTCGGCGAGTGCTCAACCGCCTGCCTGTGAGAGGAAAGGAGCTTGCGTGCCTGACTATCGTATGGGGGCGGGAGGCCCTTGCTAGGAAGGTGGATGCCTGTCGTCAAAGAAGCAGAGAGAGAACGCCCGGTTGTGTGTGAGAGTGCCTTTCTGATTCTGTTTTGTGAGTATATACAAAAATCGGTGTATACGTGTGTGGGAATCCATGGCTATTTTTAAAATCTTTTTTTGTAATTTTAATGCTTTTTTTTTCTTTTTAAAACTGGTAGCCTGGTTGTAGAAGAGTGGTTTTGAGATGTGTTTTGTGTTTTATAATCTCTCAAGCCCTTGCCAGTTTTTTCCCATTCCCTCTGCCCCACTCGCACTTTGATTTTCTTTAAACTGGGATTGGAAGCCACTCGTCTCTGCTAGCACACAGAATAAAAAGGAATGGGAAGAGGGAACATATGTGCCCAAGCGTCATGCCTGCTTGTCATAAGGTTGTACCTGAATGCAGCCTTAATTTCCTCCAACCTTAATTTTCCTTTATCCCAAGAAAAGAAGAAAAGCCTCAAATGAACCATAAAAAACCAAAGGTGTTGAGTACGCCAGAAGGAGGCTTAACGCTCCCTGCTATCTTTTTTCCACTTGAGAAGGATCGATTCTACAAAGGAAGTCACAGCCTTGAGATTACAAGAGCTGAGCAGGGCTGTCAAGGGCAGGACATTTTGGACGGCTTGCATTCATACAGTCGCCATAAGTAGGAGATGACTTGATGACACATAACAACATTAACCAATTTTTCCATTGCAGATGGCCCCTTCAGCCACTTTCCTGAAATGGAATTCCATAATCTCTTTGCCCTTAGAGCTCTTAGTTCTCCAGTAAGCTCAGATCCTTCAGACTTATATATCACCTATTCCAAACCTGAAGCCATTTTTGTTGAACAGTGGTCTATTGTTGACCTTCATATCATCCTGTTCATTTTAGATGTTCTCTCTGTTTCTGCTCCTTTCTGTTCAATATATTAAATAATACCAGACTCAAGAAAAAGTATTACACAAGCTCAGCTGCCTGATTTGATAAATAATACACAAAGGAGCTTCAACAATTTTCTTTGCTTGTTCTGTAGTGTCATTGCAGTTTGTTGCTATGTAAGCAGGCCAAACACCTGTACTCACCTAGGTTACCTTTCATCAGGCTTGTCTGAACTGGCCCAGTAAGGGTTTTTCAGCTTGCGATGTATTCCAATTTGTTTCTACCTGAATTTTTATTTTGGCTTCATTTAAAATTAGTTGGCAATCGAGATGCATAAATTGATGTCTCTTTATTTCTGGGAATTCATCTATCCTACTTCATGCTCTTCTTAGTGAATTGCTTGTTACACTTACAAAACATGCCCGTATATGTAAACCTGCTGACAACCTGTCTCTTAGGATGCTCTCTGTTCCTGGTGTGACAAGACTTGAAGTTTAGGGTGATGTTAGTGGCCTAAATCCAACACAGGATTAGCCGTGCTTAATGCTGTTGGTTCCATCAAGCTTATACCTACCTAAATATGTGTAAGATGTAAGCCAGTGCTTTTGAATTAAAAAAACAAAAAAAACCAAGGTTGGATCCTGAAAATCATTTTCCTGCTTACCTCCTTTTGTGGGTATACATGAAAAGTCTATTAGTGAGAGGATGCTTTTGAGCTGGTGTTAGGAGATGGCCCACAAGAGCTCGAGGCCAGAATCTCTGGGAGGACCCCCACCCCCACTCTGTCTTCCATAAGCAGTGTTAATGGATAGCTCACTTATGCACGGGGCCCCGATCTTTAGGGCTGTTCCAGTTGCCATCATTATTAGGAGCCCGCTTCTCCCCTTTGAACTCAGTAGCCTTACAGTTGCTAGGAGTCCTTGGGATTCACTCCATTAGTAGATTGATTAAGAATGTAGCATGAAGGTAGCAGCCTTTTAAGCTAGAGGGAAGACTGCCACATTTCCTTTCACACTCTGTTCTGTATTTTCATAAAGTCCAGACTCCATAATTGCCAAATAGCCCCGCTGTCACCCTGCATTGGCATAGCCTGCAGAGACCTTCCCAGCAAATGATTGCACGTGTGCCCTGGATCACTGTGGATGGCAAGGTCTTTAAAAGAGGGAGATCAGGTGCTTCTATGTAAATGAAACCTTCCTCATTTTGAGGCTGGTTCAAACCTCTTCCCTTGGGGGGGAATAGAAGGGAGTTGGCTTGCAAAAAGGGTTTGAATTAGCAGCAATGTCCAAATTTGGGGTAAAGTAATATATGAGTGTATGGCTTGTTGGGCATGTCTGGAGCTTCTTGACTTTACAGCCATCTTTCAGGAGAGCACTTGAATTTTACACGAACCTCGTGGCCAGATTCTGGTGGATGTATGATTCTCTTTGCATAGCCTAGAATGGGGTGATCCAGCACGTGGCCCGCAGGCTGCATGCAGCCCTCAGGCCTTGTTCTGTAGCCCTTTTGCCGCTTAGAGCGCCCCCACCCTCTGTTTCTCCCCTCCAGTCTGGATTGCAGCAATTGGCAGGGCGTGACTGCAGCAACTTCTCTCGAGGCCGCCAGACCATCCTGTCCTCACTGTGTTTAACTGAGCTTACTCCCTAGTAATTATGCAAGTCTGCAACCCAAGAGCATGAGTTACGACTCCAGTCTTCCTTGCCAGTGTGCTATGTTTATTGTGTCACTAATAGGTAAATGTTTAAGGTGCTGTGCAGCTTTAGGGTGGTCCCCAGTGCTCCATCATTTCCATTTGGATTTTGGCCTAAAAGAATATGGAAAAGTGTGGGCACACAGAGGGTAAACCAGGCACAGTTTGAGATTTTTCATAGTTCTGCCCTCAAAGCAATCAAAGAGTTGCCTTCTATATACAGTAAAAAAAATAGGAGTTATTTCTAATTGTGCACATACATGTATTCACATACGTAAATTAACACATGGGAATGTGTGCATTTTTTTTCTCCTATGGGCCTGAATGTTTTCTGTACCTAGCACTTCCCCTGGTGTGAGCTGTTGCACAAAGGGTGGAGGGGAAGGGGAATGAGCTACAGAAAATCTGGAGGACTCAGTGTCTGACACCCATCTTTCTTCACACTTCCCCTTTCCCCTCAGCCCAGTGCATTGAGCAGTGTCCCCTGACGCTTGGGGGACATTTGCCAAATGCTGAGGAGCACTGACACGGAAAGGAAGGTGGTGGAAGTACTCCTTGTCCTGCTCCTCCTACAGGCAGCTCTCTGGCTCAAGCCTTTGGGACTAAAGCTGCAGGGAAAGCATCATGCCAGGAAAATGCACTGCTCTTCTCAGCTTGCCATTTGATAGTCTTTAGCCTTTTGTCTCCTGCTTGTGCCTTCTCAACCTTCAAACGCATTCCTGCACTTCTGATTAGTTGCCAGTATTTGCAAGCGTGAGACTGAAGTCACCCCCTTTGCTTCAGCTTCACCCATATTGGAATAGGGGCCACAACTGGATTCCTATCTGCGACCTTCCACTTTTAACTCACCAGGTTTTTAAACTTTCTCTTTGACCTTGTGAAAATGAGAAAGAGTGACATTTGTTTTCAGAGACCTCTTTGCTGCAGAGGAAGAAGGGGAAACCAAGTTCATTAAATGAGAAAACACTTAGGGGAAATTCCAAAGTGCTGTCACTGAGTATGCCCTGCTCAAGTTGCAGCATGTACCAGTTCTGTGACGAAACCAAAACATCACTTTCTTGTGAGGAACAGGCCTCTTTATAAAAGAGAGCTGGCTGGAAGATTGGTTTGAATCAAATAAGGAGCAAGTTCTGCTTTCGAACCTGCCTCTTTGAATGGGGTTCTGGGGCCTAATGCTGGTATGAACGCCAGAATCCAGCACGTTCACTGGAACACTGTCCCTTGCATGTTCGCAGATTGCAAGTTGTTATTTTTAAGGAACATCAGTAGCAAAAGGTCACACCAACAGACAGTCGGTTTTCAGCTCAGTCTGGAAGGAATGATGGAAACTCGTTTACTGGGTCCGGCTTTGAATGTAGTCTGCGGTTCTTCCATAAGCAGCAGCAGAATCTGCCATGTTAATTTCTTTGGATGTGGTTTTCATTTAAAAGTTAGGATTTTTTAATGCTTCTTTTTGCTCTCTGGATCTAGAAGTACAACCAAAATGGATCCTATGAAGGAGATTAAGAACAGATCTCGTTAGGTGAACATGGCCTTCTCTTTGGTCTTTATGTTCTTTGCACAGGTTGTCAGGGCATGCCGTAATATGTTTTGTTATGCAACACCATCACCTCAGCAAATTATTGCATGGCAAGCAGCTCTGCTGTAAGCAACATTCAGACCAGAGAGCATAGAAAAGGAAAACTTTGGCAGCATTGCGCCTTAACACATTTATAGCTCATTCTTTATGAGTTTCTTCATTTTTTTTGGTTATTCATATAGCCATCCCAAAACAAACGTACATTTAAAATACAAGATATATAAAAATGATAATAAAAGTTAAAATCACAGGCTCTTAAACTTAGGCAGCAGCAGTGGGGGTGGGGGGCTTGCTAAAAATATGTTACTTAAAAAGTCTTGGTGAACAAAAGAGATAAAGCACTGAAAAGTCCATAAAGATAATGCCAAGCAAACATCTGTATGAAAGCTGTTCTATAACCTGAGTGCCAGTACCAAAAAGACTGTGTAGGAATGGGGCCCTCTTCACACATAATACAGCATTCAGAGGTTGCTGCTTTGGGTTCAGAACCGTACCTAGAAAAAGAGGCAGAGCTGGAATTCGTAGCTGAAACACCAAGGAAAGCAGGCTTAGAGATTAAACAGGTGGTCAAGGAAAACCAGACGTTTTCAAGTTCAGTTGAGCAATCAGGGACAGTTTGCTGTGGATTAAACCTCATCAGTCCGGTTGTCAGATGTTCCTAGTAAGATGATATAAACTTTGACAGCCGGTACCTTGTCAGTAACAAATGGCTAGAGAGAAATGTTTTAACTGAAGGTATGTTAGGAATTGCTGAAATACCACCCTCATTGCCTAACAGAAGTGAAATTGCAAGGAGAGACAACAGCTTCCAATCTCAGTATCTGTACATTTGCAAAGCCACTGTTACATTTAAGCAGCATTTGCAGTGTCACTTTGATCTCTAGCACCTTCCCTGCATGTTTCCCCCCTTCATTCCATTCAGGTAAGAAACCCCAAAACTAGGAATAGAGACTTTTCATTAAATTTTCAGAACAGCTTAGAGCACCTCACAGAAATTCACACAAGGACTGGGCTCACATAACATGTTGACCCATCACGGGAAACAAATGGGTTGGCACAGCTGCTCAGAAGTAAATCCACTCGGTTCAGTAGGGCATACTTGATGTAAGTGTATGTAAGATTGCAAACCTAAATGTATTACTTATGTAGACTAAGCATGCAACGATGTAACTCCTAAAGAGCCTAAAATATATTTTGAAATTTCCATTAGTTCTTTTGGAAGATCAGTTTGGTCTTGGGCACTTGCTAATTCATTTTCCAGTATCTTCCCATTCATCACCTCCATTCCATCACCATGTAGCTTGTTTGATTTCATAGGGAAGGAAAGGTGTGCTTCACAGCGGGGTGCTTCACCCCTTCCAGAGTTTTCTCCATTGTGGACTTCTGAAATGAGGGCATTTCCAGGTGTAAATGTGTGAGATGGGGCACCTCCTCTGCTGAAGAGGACTTTTCAGAACAAATCTTGACCACCGTGTTGCAGCAGTAGCTCATTCTGCAGCCTGATGTCCATAGGCCTACTGAGAAAATGTTTCAATTTTCCAGATGACAGAGCAGAGGAAGCAAAAACAGCGAATTGGTCTTCTAGGACATCCTCCTTCTATCAATGTGAACCCACAGCAACCAGCATAAATCGGATGGGTGGTTTGTTTCCCCACTGCATAACAAGAGTTGAGATTCAACCCTTAAAGCTGCTTCTATGTATTCCTAGCTCATGTAAATAAACCTGGTTTTTATACAGAATGTATAGGACTGCTATGAGAAGGTATGGGCATATATATATAGGCACATCATTGGAGGGTGGGGGGAATAACAATTGTGTCTCTCAAAATGCCTTTGTATAGGAAGAAGCTAAGGGCACACCTAACTTGCACTTGAAAAGGTTACTGACTGAAATACCATGTGACCTATATTTTGTATTTAAAAACTTCAGATAGCTAATATTTATGTTTTTATACAGTTGTGCAATATGACTTATGCAATCACACTATACTTGCTACTTAACTCGTGTGTGTCCTAAAGGGACTGCACATCTTTGAACCTGGTGTTGTCTTCTGTCATGTACTGAATGGCATCAAATGACAGCTAAGCAAGGTTGCTGCCAAACTGTTCCCAGTGAGGTTTCATTCTCCAGGGCATTTTTGTAACTTATAGCATTCCTTTAAAAAATGACACATCATGGCAGTAGTGCTGCCACTTCCCTGACAAACATTTTTCATGATCTGGTTTTTGTTTAAACAAAAAAATCAAAAGTAAACACGCAAAAACACTGTTAAACTTGCTTTTAATGATCCATTCCTGCACATTTTTGGCATGCATTTTGGTTGACAGTCCCATAAGTCCCAAGAGCTGTGGAAGAAGCTCGAGCATTCATTTATGAAAAAGTAAGAGGGGAACTTTTCTTCATTATGGAAAATTAAAACTCCAGTGGTTCCACACTATTTGTGGAATAGTTTTGCGTTTCTTTATGGTGCCATATTGATTTAGGACCTGGAAGGGTTTCTAGAGTCAGCCACCTCAGTGTAGCATTTATACATTTCTTGTTTTGACAGAAGTACATTTTCCTCAATTATGCATTGTACCAACTGAACTATGAACTATGCTTTTTAGGACTCCTAGCTGAGCACTGATTTTGTAATACTTGCGAAAGAGCCAGTGGTTTTGGATTGTGTGTCAGTTTTCCTTCCATCTTAATCACATTTTTGTTGTTCCTGATATCTGAAAAATTATATATATATATATATATATATATATAAATATATATATAAATATATGTCACCTAGTTTTGTATATGGTCCTCATTTTACGGAAGTTAATTCTTTGCTTTGAAAAAGAAGCTGAGAGCTAAAGAGAGCTTATTAAAGTTTGTAAATGCATAAAGATATTTAAATAAATGATAGAATAATAATGTACAGTGCTTCAGTGTGATTGTCTCATTCTTCAGCGATGTTGCTTTTCCTACCCCAGTTACCTTCACTGTTATGGAGATTTGGAGGAAAAACAAGTCCACATACACATAGACTAGGTTCTTAGTTTTAAAGGCAAGATTCATTGCCAGCAAGACCTTACCAGGATTCTGTATGTTTATTGTGATAAAATGATTGCCTTCCATGTTTCCTGGGGTCAGTATGTTTTTGCTGGATAGATGGTGCATTTTCTTAGGACTGAAGCTGCTCTAGGGTGCACCTAGGAATTACGCAGTCTTTCCTGCAGTAGGTGCATCTATTGAGCAATGTCTACTGTTCCCAATGTAAGTATGGGTAAGAGTATTAACAGTGCCCCAACCATTTTACCAAACTTTTTCCCCCTTCCCTTCACTTCCTTAAAGGGCCTCTTGCAGCTCTGCACCTCTGCTCACAGGTTTTGATCACACAGGGCCAAAGAAAACATTCTGCAGAACTATGGGTGATTAGCCTGCTTGCTTGAGTATAACCATGCCCATGGCAGGAGGATTAAAAAGTCTGTATTGGAATCATTTGTGTCTGGGAGAAGATTAATCCCTTTAAAATGGCATCTGTCATCTGTGTATTTTGTTAAATTCCTTTTTTAAATTTTATGTTTTAAAAAACCAGTTAATATAGCACCTTTTTAATCATTTGATCATTTAATACTATTCATCTAAATAACTGAGTGATTGATTAAGCAGATAATGCATGATACATTGGGTTAATCTATGTTGTAAGACAGCTGTGGAATCTAAACATTTTAAATCCATCAGTGCTACTGTTGACACTCTTGCTGTCAAAAAAAAATCACCATAATCTCTTCCTTGTTTTAAAATGTTTATTTTTTCAAGTCTTTACCAAAAAATAGTGGAAATACATGCACTGTTCAAACAAACAGCTCATATTCATGAACATAAACCACTCAGGGAACTTCAGCTGAGGAGTGGTTTAGAAATAAACAAATAACTAAAGCTGGACAATGGAAAAAAGCTTCAGAAAGGACCATTTTTTCATCACGATACCTCATACTGTATTATCTCATTCAGTGCAAATATGACACATGGCTGTGGACTGAAAGTCTGTTTTCACACAGCAGGGAAACCTGTGGGTGGATTGGCATAATGGGGCATTGATTGAGACTTTGTCAGAAAAGTCATAATATCGTTCCAGACAGCAATTCAGCTTTTCTGTCAGAAAGAATTCTCCTGCACTCTTGAACACTGTCATAAAAGGATTTTTCTGAGTTGCCCTTTGTGTTCCTAAACAGGGAATCCTGCTTTATAGGACAGTGCTTTGGATCTTTTGTGCCAGCGTTACATTTAGAATCTGATAACCAGACCTGGTATGTAACCTCTCCTGTAGCAGTAGCTCCCGTGTGGATGAAGAAAAAAAAAAAAAAAAACCCCAGGAAAAGATTTCCAGAAAAAGATAGTCAGCAGTGGAACTCACAGGCCTCACTGAGGATCTAGTAAATCATTTTAACACAGGAAATAAAACAGAAACTGAAATGCACATCTTACCTTAGCATTCACAAACAGATGTGTGCATACATCTATTCCATTACAGCATCTGTGTCCTGTTTTTCTGGCAAGGAGCTGAAGGCAGCATACATGGTTGTTTCCTTCTTGCCCTGAGGCTGAGAGGTGGTGACCGGTTTATGCTCACCCAGTCAACACCCTGGCTGAGGAGGGAATTCAGCCTGTCTCCCCACCTCTGCTCAGCACTCTGACCTAGCTTTCCCCAACCTGGTGCTCTCCAGCTGCATTAGCCTGTAACTCTCCCCATTCCCATCCATCTTGGCCAGGCCTGTCCAACTGGAGGGCACTGGGAGGTTGCTGGCATCGCTGCACCATTGCCGTGAATGGCCTGATCTCTCACCATCACTCACAGTTCAATCTGAGAAAACTCTCCACCAACATTTGAAAAGCAACATGTCTGAGCTGATACAACAGCTTTTTCCATAGCATTTGATCTGCCGTGGTTCTTGATACACATGCAAATATTCACGGGCTTGCAGTTATCAAGTGCGGAACGTACAGGGGGAAGTATAATAAATCATCTGGCACAGTAAGTACTGGAGTGGCAGCACTGAGGTAGGGCTCTTGAGCAGCCGTGCCCATAATAAATGAATGACTGCATTTGTGTCAAAGCCAAAACCATGAATGACAAAAGCTATGAATGCTTAAGTGTGCATAGGAAAATGTTTAATTACCTAGTCAGATGTCTCACACATTGCACTCACTACAGGAAAAAGACAGAAAGAATCGCTGACTCATCTGATGTGCGGGAAATTCCTTTCCACTCCCATTCCTTTAGATCTTGAGCGTAGAAGCAAAACCTATACCAAGAGGGTTTTTCAAAATCTTCTAGCTGCACTTCACTCTTTCCAACACTGACAAGACTTGCAACTTTTGCACGCCTCAGTGGAAAGGACTAACAGATTCATGGCTGGTTGTTTTCTGTGTCTCCCAGATTCTATATGGAATGGGTTCCTATGCCTTTTACAAGTGCAGATAAGGGGTATCTTTGTTCTCCTTGGCAGGTGCAACTGCTTCTCATATAATGTCTAGATGTTGTCACTGATGGTCCATGTATCCTAATAAGGGAAGTGTACCTCTATATGAATTCCTGTCAAAGACCTAAATCCTATGCTCTTACTTGGGGTAAGTCCCATTATTTCTGAGAACACACACACAGGATTTTTTAAAAGACTCTCTTCTTCCAAAATGGAGTGTCACCTAATATGTCATACCTGTAACTGAAAACTTTCACCTGCTGTCCTTCACTATGGCTTTGCATTGATGAATAATTACATTGACGTTCTTCCTTTGTGAAAGAGCTTTCTGATGCACTAGCGTTCTCTTTCTCACCACAGCCAGCTCGATGTTGGCAGCTTTCCCCTTTCTGAGGGTGCTTCCCTTGCTATAGCGAGCTGTAAGGCAGAGATACCAGGGGGAGGTTGTCAAGGTTATACCATGCTGGCTGCATGTGTCCAACAGTGACAAGCTACAAAGGGATTACAGGACAGCTGCAACAGGGATGAGCAACCTTGGGCCCCCCAGGTGACATACCCTGCAACTCCCTTCAGCCCTGCCAGCAGAGCCAGCAGTGAGGAATCAAGGGGATGGCCGATCGAAGCACCCGGAGGGCCACACATTGCCCAACTCCTGCCCTGCAACGTAAGCATCTGTGCCACGGCCCATAAGAGAGGTTGCTCATCAAGAAGCCCACTGTAGCCAAGACCCCTTGTGATTCCTTGCTGTTTCCTATGGACCCTACTACTGTACTACTCACAGGCAGAGAAGAGCTATTATGTTTGACTGCATGCGGCTTCCTTCAGGCTAAAATATTTGAGTGGATGAATGAGCATCAAACAACACTATCTGTCCCCTTCTCCTAACCCCAGCTGATTTGTTTTTGAGCAACCATCTAAGATGCTGGAAAACCCCTATAAAATACTTTTGCTTTAAACAGAAAGTACCAAAAACTCCACCAGTTTTGCATTGCAAAGCAGTGGGTAAAGTTTTGAGTAAAGCATCATGTCTGTGGCTTTTGTGGGTGGATGCCTCTCGGAATGACTGTTATCCTCTATCAAAAGGGAAATCTGCATGTCATGTCTGAATAAACTAGGGGAATCTATGGTAATAAATATCTTCCCATCAGTTAACATACACCGTTAACCACATAACGCTGGTACCTTCCTAGCTACTCACCTTGTACGCTAAGCATAAGATGCAGCCAACCTGAAATGAATTGGCAGAAAGAAATGTCAGAATCATCTGGGTTTCAGAAATGTAACCCAGTGCTGTCAATGTGCCCCGCGGTGATGGGATTCACACAACATGGCAACCCATACGGAAGGCTGAATATGGACTCATTGAATGGGATGCTGTTGACCCATGGGCTGTTGTGTTGTGTTGTGTGAACCTAGCCAAGCTAATAAAGTTTGTTAGCTATGAACAACCCATGAAATGAACCCCTGGTTTGTTAGGTGGCTTTGCACACACAACCCACATTTCAACAATACAGTTGGATGACAAGCCATGCTCAACCTTGAGTGTGGATTGTCAAGTTGTGTGAACCCAAACAATAAACAAGACTGCATTCAAAATCTGTGTTTGAGATGCTCTATTTTTTATTTTATTTTTCTTCATGGGAATTAAAATCAACAAATATGTACATTGGATACATAGCAATATTATTTGCAAGTATAATTATCCTATTTTCAGAGGTATTTTGAGTTCCTAATTTAGATGCCACTGGTGCTTTGAAGGATCACCCATGCTAGTGTTAAAAGGATGGATTATTGTAATTGAACTAGGAAGATTAATGCCAAATAGTTACCCCTTGTTTCCAGTATAACAAACTATTCTTGCTTAATTCACCCCCTGCCCCCGCCAGATCATTTCACCACAAATCTTTGCTTGATTTGGCACTCAAAGTGACTTTACAATCATAAACAAAACTTGTTTAAGCAATAATAAAAACACTGAGAGCCAGTGTGGTGTAGTGGTTAAGAGCATGGGACTGGGACTCATACGACCTGGGTTCTAGTCCCCGCTCAGCCATGGAGCCAACTGGGTGACTTTGGGCCAGTCACAGACTCTCAGCCCAGCCTACCTCACAGGGTTGTTGTTGTGGGGATAAGATGGAGGAGGAGAATGATGTAAGCTGCCTTGAGCCCTTTGGGGGAAAAGGCAGGATATAAATCAGAAAATAAATAATAAATAGAACCATGCATGAAGACCATTAAAACCATAGCAGTATTAGAATAAAGACAGCACCCAACCCAAGCCTCGCTTGGAGCAGTGTTTCACAGCTTAGGAGTAGACACCAAGAAGGCCCTTTCTCAAGTCACCTCTAATGTCCAGTCATAAGGTGGTCCAGTCACCTTTAGTCATAAGGTGCAAATGACTACACAGAAAGAGCAAAGTGAGGAATTAACTGGCATAGGGACCCTGCCTCCCTCGAA